ACATAGCTATGGACCTCGTTGTGATGTTTTCATACAAAGAAATATTGTGCAATGATGAAATTATGATACTCAGCATATCTGTCATTGAAACATTAAGCATTTCTTTGTATGAGAACATTGAAAATATATTCCTTCAGCTATTTAAAAATATCTATTATAGTTAACTCTAAGCACCCTGTGCAATAGTATACCAGAAATTGTTCCTAATTATAACTTTGTACAGAGTGACCCAAGTTTCCCCTCCTTTTTTCTAAAATGTGATCCAGCTATCTCATTACTCAATATATATCCAAAATTAATTAGCATACAGAAGAAACTTCCACACTCCTGCATGTACTGAAGCAATAGTCAGTAAGTGCAGAAACAGATGAATGAATAAAGATGTACTATGTGTGCAGAATAAAATCTTGTTATTCATGACTACATAGATAAGTCTGTAATACCAGTACTAAGTGGAAATTTACCAGTAAAATCAAGACAGGTGGGGGCCAGGGAGATGGCTCAGTAGAATAAGCGCTTCCCTGGCAAGCGCAAGGGCCTGAGCTCAATCCCCAGTTCTGCAAAAAAAAAAAAAAAAAAAAAAGAAAAAAAAAAAGCAAGACAGGTAATGTACTATATGTTCTTATTCACATGTGAAATCTGAAAAATCTGACTTCCCTGATGCAAAGAAGATAACAATCCCTTCACTTATTTTCTTTAAAGAAACTTAAGATTTACCTTAGGAAAATATATTTTTTGAAATACAAATTGGATAACTGGAAAATATATATTTAATGATTAATATGTAGTTTAAATCACTTTACATGCAGAAATCTGACAAATTATTAATAAACCGAATTATATATAAAAATAATTTTGTAGTTAGAAGGAAAAACAAAAGAATTTAGTCTCTACATTTTACAGATCAAAAGAATGTTACTATAGTGCGTAGACAACCAAGATTGTGTTCTCAGTTCCCTTGCCTTCCAATTAGGTATTCCTTTGACTGCACTACATGTCATACTTGTGTTAGGGTCTTTTTTTTTTTTTTTGTGGAACTGGGGATTGAACTTAGGCCCTGAGGCTTTCCCGGGAAGCACTTATTCTAATGTGCCATCTCCCCGGCCCCTGTGTTAGGGTCTTGATAGAAACACAATTATCTGTTTTTCTATTGATAAATAGGTAATGCAAATTGATGGCATATTTATTCTACTATGAATACGATAATATACTTACTCTGCAATATATTGTAGATTGGTTAGTATTTTGAGATGATAATGTTTTCTAGTTACTAAATATCAACTAGAATTTCTGTTGTCCAAGACATTTATTCTACTTCAAATCATAACATAAAAAAACTTCACACTCTAAGGAGCTAACTGATCACAATCTGTGGGGTTTATTTTCACTGTAAGCTTGAAAGTTCTTTTTTAATTTATTTTTTATTGGAAAAAATTATAGAAGATTATTTATCATGTATAGTGTTTAATTATGAAGATAAACTCAAAGTGAAAGCATGGGAAATGTAATATAAGACACTGAACATAAGAAATTGATGTGTACACATTAGTACTAAATAAAATTGATCTTAAGACAAGGAATATTAAAAGAGGTAAGATCGACATTTCATAGTGACGAAGAACCTAATTTATTAGAAAGACATAGCAATCCATTAAGTGTTTTTAATCAATAACAGAGCTTCAAAATAATAGCATTAACATGGAGTGAACTAAAGGCAGAAACATAGTTGAATGCAATAATAATGAAATATTTTAACATTTCTCCTGTGGTGATGAAAAAACAGACAAACATCAATCTTGTGTTTCAGTAAGAATATAGAAGATCTGAAGAACTGCATCAACCCATTTAATTTAGTTGACACGTGTGGGGAGCCTCAGCCTCTAAGAGAAAAAGGTATGTTCTTCTCAATGCACATGTAGAATTCACCAAGATAAGCCATATTTTGGGATGCTTATTATCTCAATAATTTTTAAACAATATGCACCAGAAACCATTAAAGATGAGATGTTTTATAGTTCCTGCTGACATTGAAAATTAAACAAGGAAAGAATGAATGTCTTTTAAAGAAGAATTTGAGGGACAGCGAGATAGCTCAGCAGACTAAGTGCCTACCTAGGCAAGCACAAGGAGCAGGGTTCAATACCCCATACCACATGCCAGGCTAGCTCCACCCCCAGGAACCCTGGGCCTTCCACTGAGTTCAGGCATGGTGGTACATGTCTGTAATCCCAGCAATAAGGAAGCTGAAAACAGGAGAATCACTATGAGTGAGAGCTGCATAGTGAAACCTTGCACAAAAAAAACAAAAATAAATACATTTTTTTTTAAAAAAATTGAAAAATACAAAATATTTTGAATGATGACATGACAATAAAATGGCAAATCTTATGAGTCATAGTTAAATTCATGTTTAGAAAGAATGTATTCTTTTTTTGGTGAAGAATGTATTCTTTAAATGTTTATATTGCAAATAAAATGATATCTTTTCTTCCCTTTCAAGACTTTTTTTTTATTCTTTTCATCAAGCTAGTTTTTAAAATTATTATATTTTTAATAATTTGATTGAGAAACAAACAGCAATGAGACAGGTTCAAAATTGATTAGTAGGACAGTTTCAATAATTAATACATTGCATATTGTTGTCTTCTTTAGTGGTTATCCATAGCACAAGATTCAGACATGATGTCCTGTCCACAAACACTATTAGCACAAATCTTTCTATTGAATTAAGAGAAAATAGCTGTATATCTATCCAAACTATTTTGACAATACAGATACAAAATGGTCCTTCATTTGTATCCCTTTTTTTGGTTTAGTTTTGTCAGATATGAGTATTCCATTGTCATTTAGACATTGTAGGTGTGTGAATTCAGCAAAATATTCCAATATCAAAGCTTGAAAGTTTAAACTGCAAATGAAACAAATTAGCACTCAAGCTTTAACTGACTTTTTCCTTGAACTAAATATGGACTGTTACTTTGATACTGCTCTATTGCATGTGGCAGGCACTAGCCCCATGTACCTATTAAACACTTAATATCTAGTCAAAATTCACTTGTGCTACAAGTATGAAATACATGTCATATTTGCAAATTCAGTATAAAAATAATTCAAAACATTTCCTTAATATTTTTAAACTTATTAGATGGTGAAGTAGTAATATTTTCCATATACTGGGTTAAATAAAATACATTAACATACTTTTTGAAAAAATTTACTATGGCTATCAGAAATTTTAAAATTATCTGGCTTACATTATACTTCTATTAAGTAGTTCTAAGCAAGGAAAAAATATGTAGGTGCTATTGATAGTTTAAAAATTTTGTATGAATCATTACTATTATAAAAATTTCTTATCAACAGAAGCAAAAATTGACAAATGGGACTATATTAAATAAAATACTTTCATACAGCAAAGAAAGCAAATAGAGTGAAGAGACAACCTAAAAAATATGAGGAAATGTTCAAAAGGTATTCTTCCAAAGAAGGATTACTATGCACAATATATATGGAATTCAATAGCAAAGATACAAAGATTCTACATAAAATGCTATGAATAGATATTGCTCAAAAATATATGTCATATAAATTGATTCTGGGTAACTTACTGAGAACCTGTTTCAAAACAAAACCAAATTAATTTACAAAATAGGTAAAGATGTAGCTAAGTACAGATGTTTTCGGTTTAATTCCCAGTACCATAAAAAGATTCATCTCAATGGCAAATACTTATGTGAAAAAATGTTCACCATGACTAATCACTAGAGTCATGTAAATCAAAACCACAAGCAAATATCATCTCATACCGGTAAGACTAGCTGTAACACAAATGACAAAAATACTACATTTTCTGAAAAATTCAGAAGAAAACGAGTTCTCTTACACTGATGGTGGGAATATAAATTAGTATAGCTTCCATGGAAAACAGTATGGAGGTTCTTCAAAAACAAAAATACAACTACTGTATGATCCAGCAATCCCTTTACTACATGTATATCCAAAGGAAATGAAATAATTATATCACAAAGACACCTAAACATCCATCTTTATTGAAGCACTACACAAAATAGCCAATAAATGGAATCAACTAAGATGTGCATTAACAGATGAATGGATTTAAAAAGTGGAATAATGGTCACCAGAGCCTGGGAAGAGTGTTAAGGGGACGGGTAATGGCTAGAGAGTACAGAAGTTAAGCTGGACAGAAATAGCTTCTGATATTCTATAAATAATATAGTAACTGTGGTGGTCCACAATTAAATATATATTCTAAAACAGCCAGTAGAGAGGATTTTGGATGCTCCCAATGCAAGGTAACAATAAATATCTGAAGTGACAGATATGTCAACTACCTCATCTGATTATTACAAACTGTTCACATGTATGGGAATGTCATATGCCAAAACATGTACAACTATAATGTATCAAGGGAAAATAAAAATACAACTTAAAAACTGTCTATATATGTAATGAATGGTCAATTTCTGTGCTGAAGAAAAAGTGATGTGGAAAAATACAGTAAATCTGAAAATATACTTTAGTTGGCTTTAAATATCCACTCTTCCCAGATTTGCATTTTGTTTTGGTTAATAGAGAAAGGATAATGCTACCACATTTCACAAATTTAATTCTTCTTCTGAATCTTGTTGTAAATTGAATTGGATGAGAATGGAAACAAATTAAATATTCAGGGTTAAGTTTGATCTTATGGGAAAAGGTGATTCAGTTCTTATCCAATTCAGTTTGCAACTAGAACTGTGTAAAGAGTTAAGTTCACAAACTGAGGTACCATTGTAGTTTTATACACCATGAAAACATTTAACCTGATAAGAATGGATCACAGGCCAGAAGCATGGTAGACATGCTTAGTTCAATACATAGATATGAGCTCAAGTAATTAAAACAAATGCCATCCTGACACAATTAGATACTGTGCAAATATACAACAAAACATAAAGCAACTGATCAATGCAACAAAATAAAACATGTATTATTTATACCTTCGCCCCATCTGAAATATTGTCCCAGTTTCCACCACTCAAAGAGAACTTTCCATTTCCTATACGCAGCAGTATCTCTTCAGGAGTATCATTGGGTCCATTAGCAAATGGAGTATAGCTATAAATAGAACACATTTTAATATAAATGAGAGGATAATATACGTAGACATTAATTAATATAAACTATATTCAGATATTAGAACAAATTAAAACATATTTATCTTCATTGTTAATGTCAAATTTTACATTTCAAAGAATAAACATAATCCTAAAAATTATTTAATGAAGTGAAATTTGCCTACATCAATCTTTTTTGTGATCAATTAGGTAATGTAAAATATACGTAGACCTACAGTCTTAAAACCAGACTACAGGAAAGCACACAATTTTTTATTTTACCAGACATAAGTTAGCAAGTAAATATCTCTACTATGATGAAAATATTAGTTTTATATATTTCTAATGTATTTATTGTTTTGGCTTAATTTATCCATTACTATTTTATTTTAACATTATTAGAGCAATGTGGTAAATATTTTCAATTAATATTATGAAATGAGTTAATTAAATATTGATATCAATAAATATTTCATAGGTATTATAATTAAAATATAGGTTGTTATTCACAAATAGGAATATAAATAAGTCAAAATACTTCAGAAAATAATTGAAGAGTAACAAGAAGTAATCATTTTTATGAAAGAACTGAAGGTGACATTCAAATATTGGAATTTGAAGACTGATTTATGGTTAAAATTCTAAGGAAGGGACTGAATCAGTATCTTAATTCCCTCACCTAACATTAAGTTGAGAAAATGCTAAATATACACAAATGTCACAATCACTTCTTTTTTAGTCATAATATAAATATTTCAAAATGGCAAGCTAAAGATAGCATCCTGTGTTTTAAAACTCAACAAGTTTACTTGCATTCACATGTAAACTTCACCTACCTGTGCTGTGGTCTATATCTAAATATTCTGCCTAATTTTGCAGTATCTAAAAAGGCACACTACATTAATATGTACAATTATTATGATAAATTGTGAATTTAAGGTCATCAGTTTTATACTAACATGTGGACATTTTAATGTACGTATCAGATAAAATTTAAGTTTTTAGAAAAAAGTCATAATTAAATCCATAATATTTTCTTGCCAACCTGGACTTTTTCTTATGAGAATAATCTCTATAGTCATAAATCTGCAATTTTAACTAAGTGTTACTCATTAAGAGTAAAAAAGCATTTATATTATTTATAAATTTTCAATATAAACAAAAACAAATACTATTACATATAGATATTGAGTATATCTTTATTCTTTTATGCGAAGGTAAAAAAGAATATAATATATAATCTGTAGTATTATATTGTTTAGCATAGCATTAGAATGTGTGATAAGGTAAAAATCTTAGTAAATTTCTATTGCCAAAATAGCTAGAATCCAAGTTCTTTAAAAAAATTAGCATCAGCAAGTTCACTGGACAGATTCCCATTTAAATGTGGGATATTTTGTGTTCATAGGAAGACAGTATAAGGTAATGTATACAGTTCAAAAGATCAAAGTAAAATGTGCATTTTATCTTTTTATGTCAATTATATTAATTTATTAACTTGTCAATTATAAATATATAATTTATTCTTAAGTCTTATTCCAGTTGAAAACAGTTTCCTAATTAATTGCTCATTATATGTCTTAAATTGTTTTTAAATTTGTAAAACAGAAATATTTTGAAATGGTAGTAGGGGTTTTCTTAAGGATATTTTCATCTATTCTCTTCATAGATGAAAATATACAGATGAAATTTAAGGAATGATGCAGGTATATGAGTTTCTTACCCAGCCAGCATTGTATAAAAAAGGACTCCTAAGCTCCAGATATCACAAGCAGCATCATATCCCTGTTGGGTAAGAACCTAAGATAGAAAAACTCATTATGTGGTATTACTTGGTATAAAGTTAATTTTTATCTAATGAAGTTTTTTTGTTTCTACTAATCTCATAAATGGGAAATATGTAAAACTTAAATATTTTATACACTATACATAATTTATACATTTACATAATTTATACATTAAAGGAAACACCTCTGTAATTAGCAAGCACTGAATAAAAGGTTATTAATATAAGCTGATTAGGTAACATAGGCCATCCCCCCAAATAAACTTGTGAAGACATAATCTCTGACCTCAGTGAGCTTTAAGTCATCTTAGGAAACCAGTAATACAGACATCTAAACTTAAGATTAATAACAGGGAGTTTAATATACTGTATACGGTAATAATGCTCTTCATGTTGACACTAACTATATAAGAAAGATATTATCTTTCAAATTTTTAAGATGAGGCAACTAAGATAAATGTTATTTACTTACTACTTCTCAATAGTAAAGCATGTGTTCCTACTATAGAGCCTATGCATCTAACATATATAACTGACTCCTTGCTATACAAGAGATTGTACAATAATATATGCATGTACAAAATTAAGACAATTTTACATACAAGACTTATGTACAAACCAGTAGTATATTTCTGGGCTATGACCACATATTTTGTAAATTCTAAATAGCATCATTATTTTTCCACACCACCATTTATGTAACTCATTTTGTTCTTGGCACCAGCATTAGTAAAAATCAAATATTTTCACTAACTATTCAGGTGATGTTTCTCTATGAAGTTAATAAAGCTTGTTAGAGAAATAAAGAACTGAAGCCACCTTTTTCATTTATATAAACAAGCTCACTGGTAAAGCCTCTAGGCACAAGAACACAATAGAAATGTTATTAATGCGTTTACAATGGGGACTGCAAAAACTTTAGCATGGGCTTTTTATACATAAAAGACTAAAATATTAACATTTGATTCTCACAAATGTCAGGCAGCAATAATGAATACATAACTAACAAAAATTCAATATATAATGCATTTTCCTGAGTAAAATATAATTACAAGAACACATGAACAAATTTGAGAAGCTACAAAAGACATAGTGTGTGTGTGTGTGTGTGTGTGCACACGCGTGCGTGTATGTGCATATAATATATATTTGCCTCAAATAAATAATACAAGTAGGAACACCAAAGACCTTAATAAAAAACAATATGGAGATACACTATTCACATCATGGTCAATGTAAATTGGCATGTTCTAGTAATTAACTAATCCTATATTGTTTTCATTACTTATCTCTTTTCTGTTTCTCATCAACTTTTATAGGGCTCGGGATCATATGTTTTCCCTTAAAAAGTTTTGAAATCTTGGTTGGCAATTCAATGCAATCACTCTCAAAGGTCACCACTTCAGACAGGTGAGTGTTTCCATAGCCTTTCAGGTTACAGTAGTGCACACTTCTAGTACCAGCTACACAAGAGGCTGACGCAAGAGAACCACTTGAGCATAAAAACTGAAAGCTAGTCTGGGCAATCCAGTCCCTGTTTCAAAGAAAGAAAATATAGTCTTGCCCCCATATTTCCATAACCATTCTCATTATGAGAAGAAAAGTGTTACAATGGAGGTGCCATGTTGCTTAATTAAGGCCAACTGGGAAAAACTAGATTTAGATTTGCCATATATTTAGACATATTTTGCATCGAAGAAGTAGTGGCAGTTCACTTTTGTTCAATAGCTACTCTCAATGCCCTATAATAGTGACAAAATGTAATCATAAAAGGAAACAAAACAAGGAATTAGAACCAGTGAAAAATGTATAGTGCAAAGGCTATGTTTCACAATGTGTTTCATTTGTGTCAAGTTAAATATAGAGGAAAAATCCATTAATTGAGGAAGTCAGTACCATAATCTTCTCTTTCATTTGGCTTCCCTAAACTGCCAAAAGGAACATACACAGAAATTTTTATTGTCTTTGCTGTGTAGTTTGAACTAATTAATATTTGGAGTACAACATACGGTGACCCAAGCCACAGAGAGCAATTTCAACTTTATTTTATTAAGAGCTGCAAATACCACATTCCTAAATTTTAGTACAAGCTATATTAATTCAGGAACACTTGTAGTGCTCAGAAGGCATTACATATCAGTTGAATAACAGAATGGATTTGTCTTCATACAAGAGTATAATAATTTGGAGATGTCTTAAATTTTTTACATATGTATGTAGGAGAGGAAATCTATAACACAAATCCTAATAGGTTAATTGAAATGATGCATATCATAAAAATTGGATGAATATTTTCTCCTTAATGTTAAACTAATAATAATCAGCTTTTCTCTTAGCAAACCATGGGGCTTTATGCACTGTGATGAAATAATGAATATAAAGCCCCATAAATGCTATTTTTATTCAACTCCCTGATGATTTTCTGATTATAGTTTAAAAGAATACATTTTATATACTTCTCTTTTAACTTTTGACAAGTTCTGAAATTTTAGAAACAAATACTGCTAAAAATATCTCTTTATTTTATTCATAGCAAATTATAAATATTTGTTCATTGTTATCTGGTACTTTAGTACTTGATAAAACGTTCAAAGCATTTCAAAAATATAAGAGACAGGGACCGGGGCGATAGCTCAGTAGAATAAGTGCCTGCCTGGCAAGTGCAAGGGCCTGAGTTCAATCCCTGGTTCCCCCCAAAAAAAATTATATAGATATAATTTTTGGTTGTCATATATATATGACAACCAAAAGCAGGTCAGGAAGTAGTTATACAGACATGGTCTTCATATACTCACTTAAAAACCTTCCTTATTACACTGGCAAAAGTGTCTTACTACATTGGAAGTTTCATGAGATAGAAAGCAACATTGGGTTACAGGCTGCTATATATTTGCACTCATTTAAAATGTTTTCTTCTAATTCTTTACCTTAAAAAGTTTACCTAACGATTGATTAAAACAGATATGCCACATACAGAATTTTTCATTTTAAATATCCATTTTATACATGTTCATTTGGGGCACATCTTCCTAAATATATTTGTAGTGAAATATTTCCATGACAGAAAGAGGCCCAGGTTATAAGATTAAGTGAGAATTAAGAAATCAGCCATTACTCTATAAGTTATTCTTCTGTCTACTGCACAAATCTGTTACAACATTCATGAAAACCACATAGCCTACATTGAATAGAACAGCCCTAACCTCAACTATTGTAGCCTGTCTTTAAAAAATCACTAATATGTTTCAGATAGCCTAATATTTTCTATGTCCAAACCTTTATTTCATGCAACAAGAAACAATACACTAAGCCCTTGTATCAGGGTTCTGATTTTTATTTTGAAAAGTAGTTTCTATTCCACATAAAGTAGCAAAAATATGTAAATTGATTATTACGTGAATTTCACTAAATATACATTTAATCACATTCTCTGAATCTATGCATAATTTCTATAGAGGAAAACTCTCACAAAAGGTCTATAATGCACATGCTATCCCTGTTACTCAATACTCAATCTTAAAGTAAGATTGAGAAGATTTTTTGAAAGAATTTTTCACTATCAGAAAGATACCTTTCTGTGTTTCAATATTCAATGCTAGAAAAATTATTTTTCTAATAGATGCCTTTAAAACAGGGTAAAATAAAATTCTAGCATGAAAAGGTTATTACATAATATATGAATATGAGAGACGAGTACTTCTTCAAATTATTTTATACTGCTTTTCCTCTAATTTGCCAAATATAATCTTTAAACGTGAAGTTTTAGGCATTATAAATATATGATGATTTTATAAGCTAGTTACTAAACTGAATATTTATATTAGGCATTATTAAATTTCACTAATTTAAAGAGTATTATGCTTAGAAAGAACAAAATAATTCAATTTGCCTATCATAACATATACAGAACTTTGTAGAAATTTAAGTAAATAAAAAGAAGGAAAAGTAAATGCTAAAATTTTTAAAGAATACCTCAGGTGCCACAAAGTTTGCAGTGTAGCATGGGGTTAAGAGAAGTCCACTTTCTCCTCGAAGTTGTTTTGCAAAGCCAAAGTCACATATTTTAATTGATTCTGCATTTGATGATTCATCCATGTATAAGATATTACTAGGCTTAAGATCCCGATGAACAACCTTGAATAAAAAAAAACATTATATTTTTATAGCTAAATACATTTTTGTGAGATAACTGTTTTGCATTTTCAGGAAAAGAAAATACCAATCACAATACAGAATTAAGATGTGTTATGTACATGTGCCAACCTCATATATGGAATGTGAGCACTATGTATTGCAAACATGTACTCATAAAGAAAAAGAAAATTGAAAATGACATTTTCTCTAATGTATGATCAAATTATACACAGAAAATTGTCTTGGGAACATTCTAGGAAGAAGTAATTTTGCATGAATCTGTGATTGAGAACCTTTAGCCCAATAAAGTTTTAAGAAAGTATTTCCCTGGCATCAAAAGTGAAGAAGAATTCTCTGAACCAATAGAAATTTAATGTGGACATGCATGGGTATGAGACAGTTTATAATTTTAAGCCTGGCTCCCCAGCTTGGAGATGGATAACACAATGGAAAAAGCATAAGGCAAGTGCTCAGTGAAAGCACTCTCCATTATCACAAGCTGGTTGGTGACCCTGTCCATGGTGATAAGTCATAGTTCATACAAGTTTTTGCTCAGGGCGAGAGATTTGGTCTGAAAGTGACCCCATCTGCAACAACAACCACAAAAAAAACCCTGACATTAAACTTAGCAAATCCTCAGAGAAATATAACCAAAGGCCATCTTGACAGGGTCCCTATTATTAGGAACTAATCCCCTCTAGATAGTTGAAGGATCAAAGCAATCACAACTACGACTCCCTCTCAGGGGATGACATGCTGCACTGCTGCACTTATATACTATTTTTGCTGCATTATCTTCTCAGGGTCATGAATGATGTGCTAATGATTTTTTTCTTTTTTCTTTTTTTTTCATTTTATGTATTTGGTACAGGGTCTCCACTATGCAGCTCAGACTCGAAGTGATCCTCCTCTTTTCAGCCTCCCCAGCGGCTGGGATTACAAGTGTGTCCCATCACGCCTGGACACGGTGGCCTGCTCAGCAGGCCCCTGGAGCAGGGCTGTCACAGCACATGGGACCGGAGATGGAAGCCTGTGCCGTGAGCTTGCCAAAGCATATGTTTAGTCTGCTTAGCTATCTTGCCAACATCTGTTTTTCACTTTAATGCTAGATTTGTTTTATTTACATGTGGGAACTGCCACTGTTAATTTGTTGTCTCTCTTCAAAGCAGTGCTGGTGATCAAGTCTGGCACAAGTTGGGTGGGAGCTGTCCTGCTGGATTACGTTACTAATCCCAGTGAGAAGAATGATAGCTGACTTAAATCACCACTTAGTCTGACTTGAATCTCACTAGATAATTCCACCTAAAGAAGGGTAAGAAAATATCTCCCCCACCAACACAATGACTCCAAGAAGGAACAATTTGAAAGAGGATAGCAGAAGTTTTAATTTTGGACATTTATCTCAAAAACAACTGCAGAAAGAAACAATACTTTTGTCAAAATACACGTATAAAATATCCCAGAAGACGGTACCATTTACCTCTGAGACACTTTGTTGATGAAATTAGGGAAAATTCCAGAGAGGGTATACTCCACCTATACTGCTATTTGAATCACACTTACCTTATCTAACAGAGGAAAGTAACCTTTTTAAGACTTGCAATGCAAATGGGTCACTCAACCTGTGACTCATCACATGTTGTGTCAATTTGCATTAATCATAGAAAAATAAGCCATAGAGAAAAAACATATGAAAATATTTTTAAAATAAAACTTAATACTACACAAAAAATTGATACCCAGGACAAATGGTTAAGAGCAACCTCCTCCCTTGAAGAGCCTCTCATGAAAGGTTAAGTGCATTCCATTCAAATAGATGTACAAATCATGATGCTGAATCTGAGAACTATGAAAAAAAAAGGCAACATGACTTCTCCAAGAGTTGTTAATTCTACAGTAACTGATCTCAATGTTACTGAAATTGATATATTACCAAAGAATTCAAAAGAATAATTACAAAATGATAAATACAGAAGATGGGGAATGAAAAAAATACTGAAGAGGAAAAGTAAGAAAATAGCATTTTTGAAAATTGGAAGGAGACCAAGAGTTAAAAGTAGCAGGAAGGAAACAAAAGGGTAGAAGACAAGAAAGAGAAAGCAAGCAAGCAAGCAAGCAAGCGAGCGAGAGAAAATGAAATGTATTATGTACACATATTAATTCTCCATAATTATCATTATATACTGCAAACATGTACTAATGAAAAAAGAAAAAAAAACTATGTGACATAAAGGAGACAATAAAAGATATGCAAGAAGATTTTAATAAAGAGATTATAAAAAGAAAACAAATTTTGAGAATAAAACATTCAATAAAAGAAAACCTTTGAAAACCTTTAAATGGATAGCATCACCAATAGCCCAGGATCAAGCTGAAGACAGTGTCCAGGCTTCAACACAGGTAGATATTTAGACAGGAATAAAGAAAAAAAAATATGAACAAAACACGCAACCCTTCTGGGACATGAATAAAAAACAATCTTAAGAGGGTTATGAAATACAGGCTACAGACAGAAAATCTATTAAGTAAAAAAATCCCAGAAAATTTCCTTCATTTGAGAAATATGTCGACATTCATGCACAAGAAGAACTTAGAATCTCAAACAGATATGACAAGAAATGAACTTCCCCGGATTACACTATAAAATTTCCAAAGCACAAAACAAAGAAAGAATATGAAAGGCAGAAAGTTAAAAACTCCAAATCATTGATAAAGATAAGGCCATTTGAATGTCAGCAAATTTCTCAGCAAAAACTTTAAGAGTAGGATAGTATTGAATGATGAAAATACATAAATTTGTCCAACAAATTCACCCTTCATAATCAATGGAGAAATAAAGACATTTTAAGGTAAGCAGAAACTACAGGAATCACTATGCTGGCATAACAGAATAGTTAGAGGAACACCATATAAAAAAGAAGAAAAAGAAACAAGCAAATGACTAGTAGGAAAGAATCAAGCATC